AAAAATAGTTTTGGGATCTAATTAATGGTAGGATTACATCCAAAGGTCTTGCAACATTTTCCTTAACTCCTAGGCAAAATATTTTCTAAAACCAAATATTTTAATTATTTCACAAAAACAATTGGTTATAACCCACGTTTTCCAATCGATTTTGAGAATTTTTACAATATCATTATAAGTCAAAATTTGAATCGTTTTCACCACACCACATGTTTTCCAAAATTAATTTAGGATATTTCGCAGATTTTTTATAGATAAAATTGTATTTTAGGTGTAACATCCCACATCGCCCAGGAGAGCGGATCCTGTAAGCCTTATATATATATATATATTCTCATCTCTACCTAGCATGAGGCCTTTTGGGGACTCATTGGCTTCGGATTCCATCGGAATTCTGAAGTTAAGCGAGTTCGGACGAGAGCAATCCTAGGATGGGTGATCTACTGGGAAGTTCTCATGTGAGTTCCCATAAACAAAACCGTGAGGGCGTGGTCGAGGCCCAAAGCAGACAATATCATGCTACGGTGGAGTCGAGCCCGGGATGTGGTGGGGGCCCAGGCCATGATGTGACAATTTGATATCAGAGCTAATCTCTAGTCGGATGTGTGCCGACGAGGACATCGGGCCCTAAGGGGGATGGATTGTAACATCCCACATCATCCAAGAGAGCGGATCTTGTAAACCTTATATGTATATTCTCATCTCTACCTAGCACTAGGCCTTTTGGGGACTCACTGGCTTATGATTCCATCAGAACTCCGAAGTTAAGCGAGTTCGCGCGAGAGCAATCCCATGATGGGTGATCCACTGGGAAGTTCTTGTGTGAGTTCCCAGAAACAAAACCGTGAGGGTGTGGTCGGGGCTCAAAGCGGACAATATCGTGCCACGATGGAGTCAAGCCCGGGATGTGGTAGGGGCCCAAGCCGGGATGTGACATTAGGGTCCATCTATTAGTTTATATTATTTTTTATAATTTTAACCTTTAAAAATCAATAAAAAATAGTTTTGAGTCCTAAGTAATTGTAGGATTACATCCAAAGGTCTTGCAACATTTTCCTTAACTCTCATGCAAATTATTTGGTAAAACTAAAAAATTCAATTTTTTACAAAAAACTGTGAGTTATATAACCTATGTTTTCTAATCGATTTTGGGAAATTTAACAAAGATCATTATAAACCAATATTCGAGTCATTACGTTTATTTTCGACCAATAAAATTATAACTTAGGGACACTCAATTAGTTTATACTATTTTTTTATAGTTTTCAATTTCAAAAATAAATAAAAAATAGTTTCGGGACCTAATTAATTGCAGGATCACATCTATAGGTCTTGCAATATTTTCTTGAACTCTCATGCAAAATATTTCTAAAAACAAAAAATTGTGAGTTATAACCCACATTTTCCAAATGATTTTGAGAATTTTAAGAAGAATCATTATAAGCCAAAATTTGAGTCATTCTCATTGAGACTACATGTTTTCTCAAATTAAGTACGATATTCCATAGATTTTTACAGATAAAATTATATTTTAGGGACACTCTAATAGTTTAATTAGTTTTCTACTTTACAACTTCAAAAATCAATAAAAAATAGTTTTAGAACCTAATTAATTGTAGGATCACATCCAAAGATCTTGCAACATTTTTCCTGACTCTTATGCAAAATATTTCGTAAAACTTAAATTTTCAATTTTTTACAAAAAAAATTGTGATTTATAACCCACATTTTCCAATTGATTTTGGAAAATTAACAAGAATTATTATGAGCCAAAATTTGAGTCATTTCGTAGATTTTCGACTAATAAAATTATAATTTAGGGACACTCAATTAGTTTATGTTATTTTTCTCTTTTTCAACGTTAAAAATAAATAAAAAATTGTTTCAAGGACCTAACTAATTGCAGGATCACAACCATAGGACTTGCAATATTTGTTTGAACTCTCCCACAAAATATTTTTAAAACCTAAAAATTTCATTTTTTTCACAAAAACTGTGAGTCGTAACCCACGTTTTCCAATTGATTTTGGGAATTTGAACAAGAATCGTTATTGACACACCCCGATCCAAAAATTGGGGCGTGCTGGCAGTCACGTGAGCGTGACGGCCAGCATGCCCCAATTTTTGGATCGAGGTGTGTCAGTTATAATCCGAAATCCAAGTCATTCTCATCGAGGCTACATGTTCATCAAATTAACTTACGACATTCCATAGATTTTTGACCAATAAAAATTATATTTTAGAGACACTTTGTTGGTTTATATTATTTTTTCTATTTTCAATTTTAAAAATCAATAAAAAAATATTTTTGGGACCTAATTAAGTGTAGGGTCACATCCATATGTCTTGCAACATTTTCTTATGATCTCATGCAAAATATTTCTAAAAACTAAAAATTTGAATTTTTTCACAAAAAACTATGAGCTATAGCCCATGTTTTCCAGTTGATTTTGGGAATTTTAAGAAGAATCATTATAAGCTGAAAGTCGAGTCATTCGCATCGAGACTACATGTTTTCTCAAATTAATTTAATGCATTATGTAGATTTTCAATCAATAAAATTATATTTTAGGGACGCCATATTAGTTTATATTATTTTTCTATTTTTCAACTTTAAAAATTAATTAAAAAAAAACAGTTTCAGGATCTAATTAATTGCAGGATCACATCTAAAGATCTTGCAACATTTTCTTTAACTCTCACGCAACATATTTCATTAAACCAAAAATTTCAATTTTTTTACAAAACCTGTGAGTTACAACCCTTATTTTCCAATTGATTTTGAAAATTTTAACAAGAATCATCATAAGTCAAAATTCGAGTCATTCCATTGATTTTTAACCAATAAAATTATAAATTAGAGACACTCAATTAGTTTAAATTATTTTTTCTATTTTTTTACTTTAAAAATAAATCAAAAATAGTTTCGGGACCCAATTAATTACAGGATCACATCCATAAGTCTTGCAACATTTTCTTGAATTCTCACGCAAATCATTTCGTTAAACTCAAAACTTCAATTTTTTCACAAAAAACCTATGCGTTATTATAACCCACGTTTCCCAATCTATTTTGGGAATTTTAAGAAGAATCATTATAAGCCAAAATTCCCGCCATTCTCATCGAGACTACATGTTTTCTCAAATTAATTACGACATTTCATAGATTTTTTACCGATAAAATTATTTAGGGATATTGTGACATCCCACATCGCCCAGGGGAGTGATCCTTATATGTATATTACCATCCCTACCTAGCACGAGGCCTTTTGGGAGCTCACTGGCTTCGGATTCCGTAGGAACTCCGAAGTTAAGCGAGAAGGGGGCTAGAGCAATCCCATGATGGGTGACCCACTGGGAAGTTGCTCATGAGTTCCCAGAAACAAAACCGTGAAGGCGTGGTCGGGGCCCAAAGCGGACAATATAGTGCTACGGTGGAGTCGGGTCGGGATGTGACAAATACTCTATTAGTTTAATTATTTAATTATCTTTCAACTTAAAAAATTAATAAAAAACTAGTTTCGGGACCTATTTAATTGCAAGATCACATCCAAAGGTCTTGGAACATTTTCCTGAACTCTTATGCAAAATATTTCGTAAAACTAAAAATTTCAATTTTGATAAAACTGTGAGTAACCCACGTTTTCCAATTGATTCTGGAAATTTTAACAAGAATCATTATAAGCCTTATTCAAGTCATTCTCATCGAGGCTACATGTTTCTCAAATTAATTAACATTCCGTAGATTTTTCATCGATAAAATTATATTTTAGTGACACTCTATTAGTATACATTATTATTATTTTATTTTCAACTTTAAAAACCAATATAATAGTTTTGGGACCGATTAATTGCAGAATCACATGCAAATGTATTGCAAGATTTTCCTTTAACTCCCTTGCAAAATATTTCAAAAACTAAAATTTCAAAATTTTCACAAAAACTGTGAGTTACAACTCACGTTTTCCAATCAATTTTGATAGTTTTTACAAGCATCATTATTAGCCAAATTCGAGTTATTATCGCCGCACCACATGTTTTTCTAAACTTGATTTTGGTATTTCCGAAGATTTTTCGCCACACCTCATGTTTCCTAAATTAACTTAATTTGGGGACCTTCTATTGATTTATATATATTTTTTTCTATTATTCAACTTTTAAAAATAATAAGAAATTTCAGAACCCAATTAATGGTAAGATCACATCAAAAGTCTCGTTTTCAATTGATTTTGGGAATTTTAGCAAGAATCAGTATAAACCAAAATTTAAGTCATTCTCCTCAAGACCACATGTTTTCTCAAATTAATTTACGACATTCCCGTAGATTTTTTACTGATAAAATTATATTTTGGCGACACTATTAATTTATATTAATCTTTTAAGATCAAATTAAATAGTTTCAAGATCAAATTAATTGTAGGACCACATTCATAGGTCTTGCAACATTTTCTTGAACTCTCACGCAAAATATATCTAAAAACCAAAAATTTCCTTAACTCCCAGGCAAAATATTTCCTAATACTATAAATTTCAAAATCAATAGAAATAGTCTCGGGACCCAATAAATGGTAATAACATATTCAAAGGTCTTGCAACGTTTAACTCCCACGCAAAATATTTCCTAAAAATATAGTAGGATCACATCCAAAAATCTTGTAAACATGCGCTATGTATCCAAGATTCCGACTATCCCCTGTTGGAGGCTAAATGAAAGAAGGATCAACCTTTAGGGCCATAGACAATTCAGGGCCATCAATTAGTTCAAAACTTTTGGGACCAAGACACTAAAACTTGACCCACAGTTTTATTGCAGATGTTTTTTCTAGGGTTAGCCGTACTATCCCTAAGTGCACATCACTAATACATATCTTAACATGCTATTCCTAAAGCCTACGGGACGCATCTAATTACCACTTTGGGGTATCCAATTGGACCTATAAATATTTTATGACGAAAGTTCAAACCCAGGAGAGCCACTTCGTCAACTAGGAGACATCCAAATTCTAGGGAACTCAAAAGGCCCAAATTATGAATCATGACAAACTCAAAGACTTGTTCCATTCTAAGCCGGATTATCAAACGGATATCAGCAAAGCAAAAGTAGAAGAAAAACAAAACAAGCATATAATATAAATCAGCCTACATGAATGTGCCGGACAAGGACATTGCCGAAGTGGATAAGCTTGGATCCACAGCTCCGACTGATTCATCTTCTGCGCCGTCTAGTTCCATAAGCTTAGATCAACCCCAAAAAGCCGCAGCTGCAGCAGGGTGGTTTTATAGAATAACGGTCCTGCAATGCCAACCCAGTTTTCAAACCTGACAATGGAAAGTAAGATAAGAAGAAATGAAAGAACATGCATAAGGGTCAACCTCATTCAGTGAGAAAACAATCCATCTTCACATCTGTTACATCGAGCCGCAGTATCTCTGCTCTACAACTTAAAATTGATCCAATGCTGCAAAAACACAATATTGATCATCAGTGCTTGTTCAAATTTAAGTTAAAAGAAATTATATAATTTCACTCAAATGTATATAACTCTTTCCTTTGCCGTTAAATGAGTTTTGATGCACGTATGCATCAACCCCTGAAGCGATGTTCAAGTTTGCAACATTATAAAATGACAGAGAAGGCCATTCTAAATTTCTAATGAACAGAACACACAGAATGGAGTTGCCAGCCTCTAAATAGAAGGGATCTCTACTGATCCTCCATTCTGTGATCGAGACAGAACCCTACTCTCTCAAGTTCAAGGTGATCAAATAAAAAATTATACCTAGGTTGGGTGCGTCCAAGATCCCCATGAACGAATTCCTTAATGTACGTTCCAGCCTGTGCTTCAAAGACATACATAAGTGCCTTTTTCATATATATTGATTGTAATTTGATCTTTTCAATCAGTCAGTGGTAACAGGCAGAAATTCAACTAAATAAGCAAATAATATGGGATCTCTCTGAATTACTAAAAAGGTATTTTTAAAGTTTCTCTCAGCTGAATGAAATTCTGATGAGAGCAGTATTAATATGAAAAAAGATTAAATCCAAAATGATTTTTTATTCTCTTTATGACAGTTTCTACATGTTTTCCTAAGCCTTACAGAGAAAAGAAGAGGACAAATATATAGGAAAATGGAGAGTATTCATTGATTAAGGCTTCTCCTCAAATAAGTATGGAAACCAGAAACACTTGCTTCCTAAACATATTCGATTACCCAAATCCAACCTCTACGATGTGAATATGTAGGCTAACAAAATTTAGTTCAATAATATATTGCTTCAAGTTTAATTTTCAAGATAATGAGATAATTTACCTGGGTACACAGATGCAAAAGAAAATACTGAGAACTTCCAACAATCTTCTCAATTCTCATCCTAAATTGGAAAATGGAGAGACTCTGATTTAGATTCAGAAAAAGATTGGAGTCCAAACCAATGTTTGTTCCACAATATTTGAATAATAGACAAACCAATGTATGATCTTTTCTCGTTCTAATGGACTTCGGCGGTGAAGCACCCTGATGGGAGTCCTCTGCTGAATATGCTGTGCAAAATAAACAGATACTGGTAAGGAATCAGCACTAAGATAAGATTTCCCCAGCCACAGGAACTAGTTAAAAAAGTATAGTAAAAAAGGCCCAACAATTTGTCATCCTTTAAAGTTGACAATAACCAAGTAGAAAACTATTACGAGGCTCAGAAAACAGATCACCGTGTCTTTAAGTGAAGATATAAAATGCAAGTCCTCATCCTTGAGAGGGCGAGAAATCCACACTAACGCAACATACTGCTTCTGCATGAAAATTCAAGACAATATAACAAGAGGCCATCAACATGATGTGAAAAGAGGGGTAAGCAGGTGGGGGAGACAAAAAAAAAAATGAAGAAGAAAGAAAACCTGTTTCTCTGCTTCCCCTTCACGCATTAGATCCCATGACTGACTATCAACCAGCTTCAGATTTTTCACGCCTACCTGCATGCATATTGTGCTTTTTTGTAATTGTTCAATGACAAGAAACAAAAATTCCAATTTGGCAGTGAGCTCACCAATTTATTTTCCAAGTTATTTATCGCTATTTCCAAACTTTTTACAGAGTCATCAGACGGGACGAGGCGAGCGTTTTGTATCTCAAGCAGGAACGGCCTTCCAGAACCCAACATCCTCACCTAAGATATTTACATACTTTAGAATTTGCTAATTGAAATCAAACTGCAGTACAGAAAGGCAGATTTCCATTACATCGATATCTTCTCTTCCGGCAGCATGAAACTTGTAGTTATCACCACGACATATAGGAAGAACGTTGCTACCTAGTATCTCCTACGAAGGAGAACAGAAATAACAGTCAGCATCTCCAGATCTCCACCACTGTTTCCAGAGCAACAAGCCAAATTAGAAAGATTGTGGCCAGTATTTGGAGTAAATTTTACCTCGACGGATGCTTCTCCCATTCTCTCATCATCAATAATCCAACAGGATTGACTCACATTTCTCGAGTACTGTAAAATAAAAAGTAATTAGCACCAATTACAATACATTTCGTGTTAATAACGTCAGCTTATGGTACAGAGGTAACCATAAGATTAGCTTATGACACAAGTGACAACAAGATTGGCTTATAACACAGAGGCAACCTCAATATTAAACTGATGCAAGCACTCTGATGTAGATATAACAAAACATTTAAACTCGTTTTCCAACTTTCAGATACAAGCTAATAGGTCGACGGTAGATTTCAATATGCCAAGATAAGCCTAACATTTGGTTATACTAAGTTAAGCTAGTTATTTTGAAAAGGAAAAATCACAATTAGCTTACCTTCAGGTATCTCCCACCAACATAGATTTGCGTCCGGTAGCAGAGAAACTCTAAACAGCAAGGTTCACTGGACTAGAAAGGATAAAGTACAAGTAAAATTAGAATCAACAACATAAATGATTTACCAGACTAACTAGGTGATGTACAAGCATGAATAACCTAGACCATTCAGCCCTGATACCAGTTAATGCTTAAAGTTTGAAACCAAGAAAGGCAGTCCAGTAACTGTACCCATAGTATAACCAAAATTGGACAAGTAACACTCAAATTAAGTTCACTCATGCATCATTATGCCCCATCACATTAAAAAAATGGCAATTAAATTCTTCAGATCATTCGAAAAACTTGCCACTTGGGGAACTAATACCATACAAAATTCCATGAGTACCTGCTCTAGAGGTAACTTCAGGCACACAGGCGATTCATTAGCTTGCAAACTCACAAAAGACCTTTCAACAACCGCATCAGCTTCACTTGTCAAAAACCCAGAGCATTTGATGTCGTCATTAATTCTGTCCAAACCATTGCCTGAACCTATTAGAATAGCAGTAAAGAGACACTTAAAAAATCAGGCAGTTGGTATCAAGTTGGTATCAGATGTGGTGCCATTAAAATTGGGGTAACAGCCAATGTGCTACGTGTCAGCATGTAGAAATGCTGGAGACTCGCCTCCCTTAATTACGGTCTAACAATGAGAATTTGAAGTGGAAAAATGATGATGATGAATAAATAATGCTTCATCTTTTTTTTCACTATCAGATAATACTTTATCTTTTCAAATACTTTGAAAACCAGACATTAACACAGGTTCTCTCGCTTCTATTCAACACCCTGAAAATATACTTAAGCACGAGGAGAGAGAATAACAATAGACAGCTTGAAACAAATACTTTTCATTTTAGGCAGATGAAGAATTGGTTTCTAATAAACAAGCCCTGAATTAGTTCTTAAAAGTTAAAACCTATTAAATATTCTCTTTAAAAACCATTGGAAAAAATCATAAAAGCAAAAGCTAGATGTAGCATCTTCTAACCAATCATCAAGGGATATCGACAGAAAGCATGACCAACAATTAGGCTTTGGCTACACCTATCTCCACAAACAGTAGACTGATTCCTCTTTGGGACTCATCACAGAAGGTTTATAAACACAATGCTTGCATATTCCCTAGTTATACATGACAATTGTTTTCTTAATATGAAACGTTGTCAGATTTCTCACTTCAAATCCAACATTCACATTATATGCTGTATTAGCGTATAAATATCAAACAGTACCAAAATAGTGAATAATTACTTTAGAAACACAAGTTATGTATATAAGTTCCCACTTATGTGCTAGAAATATAAGGGCAACAGAAAGCAAGATCCTACTGAATTTGGCAAGAAAACTAGAACAAGTGATGGAGTATAAAACTGAACATGCCTGTTTTTCTTCTTTTGCACCCCTCATTAGAACTATCAACTGTTATTGATGCTATACGGTGAGTGTATGTCAAACGGATGTGGAAACTGCTTATGCTGGACTTACAACCCTGCAGGACTTCAAATTATTGAAGATTGCTCTCATACATTTGAAATTGATTATTCTTAGCCCTTATGGATCATATAAAACTCATTCCTCTCAATAAACATTATAAAACCCTATATTTGTTTTGTCAAATAATGTCATATGGATAAAATAATTAGAATCTGAAAGAAGAGAAGCTTTACATACCAACATTGTTTCAAGGATCTCCGTAAGAGAAATTTTTAGAGCATCCTTTGCAGAAATGCATTCAGAGAGTGATTTTCCTTGGAACCAAAGTTCAGATTCAAACTTTCTTTTCATATATAGCCTACAAAAGAAAACACAAAATTACATTGACCTATATAAATAGTTTGTTCAATGAGCTTGGAGACGCTCAAACTTGGATAAACAGATACTTGACTCCAGTCTACAGTTCAGACATAGAATGTGAACTAGATTTTGTCTACAGTTCAGACGTAGAATGTGAACCAGATGCAGAAGATATAACTAACAGATTAGGTAATTTTGAAACTGTCCAAAGTTCAACAGTCAAAGAGCCTTACTGTGAAAGTACATTTCTTACCAAGCAATACGATCATTTTCCTGGATAATTGGAGGTATGGATACTTCAAGAGAAAAGCTGTCAATCTGAAAGCCCTGTTGCCTAATCAGATCGGAAATGGAAACAGCCAATTCACTGGCACTCTCCCTTTCTACCACCAACTTGTTATCCACAGAATAAGTGAACTGCAAGATCCCCAAACAAACTCTACAAACTACCGGTTCTCTAACATTACTATCCACCAAATGTTTCTCTGAATCTCCAACAACTGAACTCAAGATTGACCGCGATAGTGAAGAACGATAGTAATCATGCTCTCTGATCCCAAATAACCGTAAGATGCATCTGGTGCATACCTACAAGGGAAAATTTTTTATTTTCTTATTAATCTCGGAAACACTTAACTAATGAGGACGTTTGAACCAAACCTACTTAGAACTACGAATTGAATAATCATCGACTACAAAGTGAACGAGCCTCCAAAATATAAAAGTATTAGGTTTAATAAAATGCAGTAGCATCAATATTTGGAAGAATATGACAATTGAAGCAGCCTCCAAAATATAGTGAAACCCTTGAATTAATAGAGGCAAAAGGTAAGAAGAGATAAACTAGGGCAAAAGCAGAGCTTACGCCGGTGGACCATAAGTCTACGATGGCGCGACTAGGCAACCCTCGGACGACGTCGCAGAGAGATTGCGCATTGTCGCCATTAACGGTGGCCTGCGAAGCATCTTGGGTCTCGTTTGCCATTTCGAAAAGCCCCTCAATGGAGTGGATGATTAGTTTGCCACTTCTCAGACCAATACGACGTATATTGTGCCGATAAACCCCAACCCTAAGCTCCTCTAGCTTTGTCGAATCAAGGGCAAACTGGGCAAGTTATTAGGTTATTTCCAACCGAAGAAGGCCTAAAAGGGTCCTAGGTCATATTTTATATCATCTTTACGTGGGGTCAAAAGGTTATAGGCTAAGCATAATTTATTATTTTAATTGAATTAACATGATTACTTAAATTAAATTACCATATTAAAATAAGATTTTTAAACATATTTTGAGTGTCATTTGTCGCCAAATGAATAAGCTTCCGGATTTCTTAAAATTATATAATCTCAATAATTTTTTGGATAAGATTTCAAGTGACATGTATCGCTAACGTGAGTAACTCTCTAGATTTCTTTTCTTTATGTAATCTCAATAATTTTTCGGATGGATTTCGAGTGACACGTATCGCTAAAGTGAGTAACTTTCCAAATTTCTTATCTTTATGTAATCTTAATAACTTTTCAAATATAATTTCGAGTGCCACGTGTCAAGATGTAATTGGTTGTGCAAACTTTAGATAAGATTCTTATTTACGTGTCACTTCTTATCTTCAGCTTCCAATGTTAATAAATTGCTTGATGTTGGGGTAGAATTCACACACATCCAAACACCTTCACTTGTTTGAGAACTACCCTTAACACTATCTTCCGAGACCCATCTATAAGCCCTGCAAAGAGTTTTGTCTTCTTTTCAGGTCCAAGCCCTTCCTTTCATTGCAAATGTGACCATTTGAAAATTATTGAAAATATTAAAGGAAGATTATTGGAAGAGGTAAGAGAATATAATGTTAAAAATTGAAATAAAATGAGGTAAGATAGTATGGAATGATGAAAAATATGTGAGAAATGGTGTATGAATGGTTTAGGTATTTATAGGAAAAAAATTAGAATTTTTTTTTAAAATTCGTCAAAAAAAATTAAATTAAATTCCAACTGTAACCTAACAGCAACATGACGTCAGCTGGTATGGAATGGTGAAAAGTATGTGAGAAATGGTGTATGAATGACTTAGGTATTTATAGAAAAAAAATTCTAATTTTTTTTTAAATTCGTCAAAAAAATTAAATTAAATTCCGACTGTAACCTAACAGCAGCATGACGTCAGCTAGCTGTTGCTACCTGATGTCAGGTAGTCATTGGCACTCAAATGGGCTGAGCTGGAAGGCTGGCAAAATGTCAAGCTTGACATTCTGGTGCTGGAGGGTTGGGCTATAGGGCTGGTGGGTTGGTTGCTCTTAGCTAGCCCTTTGGCCGGTTCTCCCATTTTTGGCCAAGTAGGGACCACGAGCCCTTTGGCCTAACCCTCGGTTGAGGACGATTTTTGTGTCAAGATCCTTTGACCGAATCGATTAGAGATGGCCTTATATAAGCCATGGGCGGGTTGATTAAATTACTATTATCGCCTTAGTTATTGAAGATTTTGTACGTTTTATGCTGTCTATTCCATTACACAAAAAAAACTTGCATAATACTCATTTTACCTCTTCTTCAGTGAAAATGAGACATCAGTGTTGATATTAAATACGAGGTTTTGCAAATGTGCCTATGTTCTAAGGATAGCAGTAACACTTTATTTCATTATCTGAAAAGAAAAAAAGGTACAAAATAGTTCTCACTATTTTCTTTTATTCGCTTTTGTCTTTCTTTCCTCCTCTTGCCGTGTGTTCTTATCTCTTGTATTCATGATTGTTTATAGGCAAAGTGCCTTCAACCTAACAAACCTGCCAAGCCACTTTTTTTGACAATTTTGCAATGGTATGAGTCATCCACTCAAACCAAATAATAGATGGAAGACATGTGAACATCTATATTTAGAGGCTTACAACACCTATATTGTTGTATAGATATATATAGATAGATAATTAACACTTAAAAACCATGTAAAAATTTGATTCAAGAACAAAGACTTGTAATTAAGAAATTAAAAACATATCCCTTAACCCAAGGTCCTATGTTCAGACTTCAAATTCATCCTCCTGCCACAACAACATAGAAAATTTGGTATAGATTTTCTTGTTCGTCGTCAGCCAATCAAAACTTTATTTTCCAACGTAGACCAATTGACAAGCAATAGTGGGAGAAGATGATTTGAGGACATGAACTACGGAGTACTGTTTACTTTAGGTGCAAGCCCATCGCTACGTCATATAAATTTGCCCGTCAACGTTTTAGTGATAAATAGTTCAGCAAACAATTGATTGAAATTAAAGTTTAAGGGGTAAATTGACAACGAGTTACAAGTTTAGGGGGAAGAATTTGGCATATACGTGAAAGTTAACAACACTATGTTTTCTATACCCCAACTCATGGACAAGGAGGAATTCAGATTCTCACCTGATCTCGCATTTCGAAACCAAGGGATCAAGAAATTGGACCTTTCAAGAGAGAGATAGAGAGATATGGACCCTTGATTTGTGTAAGACGACCCAATAATATGGGCTAAAGGGTTGAGTAGTTTGGATCTCTGAATCCGTCAGCTCTAGACACAGAGATTAGGAGAGAAGCTTGATTCGACAAGGAGTACGTACCGACACTATTTTTCCCTCTATCTGCAATTCTGCATCCTGCTAGTTGTGGACTCTTGCCGTCCGCGGTGGTTTGGTTTCCAACAAAAAAACAGTGCCTGCAGGGTTCTTTCAGTTCAACCAAACTTAAAGATAATCTCCTTATGCTTTCACACATCACAGAAACTTGAATAATTTGTCAACTGCACAACCTTGTTATTTACAACTATGTCCTATACACCAACACATATGAAGTAGTATGTTAAATGAAATTTTATTTAATACTAAATACACCAAGTTTTTTTTCTTATTGTTTACATTACCCATGCACGTATAAGCAGAGGGCTATCACACTTCCATAGTCCCCAAATAAAAATAAACAGAAAGTGTTCTACAGGCTCGAAGATAAACCATGTAGATCCACATAGCCAGAAAGCACCGCCCGGCTTCGTTCTTTCACCTTTGTTTGAAAAATCACCCTGCAGATTTTTACACTGACATTGTCTCAATGTGCTTCTAAATAAATCAATCACAAAGACCAATAAGAGGAAAATCTACCTTAGGCCTTCGAGCCACATTTCAGTGAGCAAAGTTTCACCAGGGTAGACATGTAACAGGAACCGGCCTGATACACACTTGACCAGGTTTGGATCTTCTCCGCAAATGCATTTCACAATTGCCCTGACTGCAAATCCAAGTGTGCACAAGCCATGCAGTATCGGCCGTGTGAACCTTTGATAATGCAGCACAAAAAAGTTAGATAAACTGAAAACTTGGGTTATGATGAAATTGGAAAATCTATGGTACACTATGCGGCCTTGAATATAAAATGAAAGCAGAATAGCTACAAGTTGTAATTTTCCTCGATCGTGAAACAAAGCTTGTTTCAAATAAAATGAACCTCCTAATGACTGTAACCCATCGCAAAATTAAAAGAAAAATCTTTAAGAAAGTCCAGCTGTTCAATTTTAGTGTGGAACTCACCCTGCAGCTTTTGCGAACATAGGATCTGAATGCAGAGGATTGTAATCTCCAGATAGCCTATATAGCAATGCCTGTAGAAGGGCATAAAGAAGTCAAATGATTATATGGAATCCCATATTCAAGGAGAACAGATAAATTGAATATCTTGTGTAACCATGTCAATTTATAATCTGAATGCATCTAAAGTATAAAATGCACATCTTCGTCACTCACAAAGATGAATATACTTTTTTGTATACAATCATCAAAAATCATGTGCATCTTAAAGAAATATTATTTTAGTTTGGAAGCAAGCACAAGCCATTTATAGCTGCCTATTGGTCATTGTAAGCACCAATTGGGAATTAGGTTGACAATGAAGGAGCGACTAAAAGACTTGAAACATAGCTTTGGTAGAACTTGACGACTCTTAATTCTGCAGGAAAAAGTACCGCCTAACTCTTTACATGAGACAGTGACTTTACTTTTTGCAAATAACGAAATAAATGCTACTTGCCTGAGATGGCTGTGTACAATCTTCATACACTGCAAAAGGTTGACCTTTTGGGGTTGTCACAGATGCAACCTGGTCTTTTGGATAGGTTGAATATGAATACCGCTGGGATGATTTTGAGAAGCCACCAGCACCTCGCAGAAAAACGGTCGACCTGGAAAGAAACACCCCATCTATGTCAATTGCTTGACAATATTAGATCATCTATTTCAAATGAGTACTCACCGATTCATGCAATACAGTACACCAGAATCTTTGTCGTAACTTTTTGTTTCAATCTCGAGAATAGCAGCTTTACCTGTAAATCAACAGCAACAATTTGCTAATTATGGCCTTACTATTAAAAAAGAATTTTTAAAAAATGAACAGTACAACTTATTTTGGACCTTCGTTTAAGAGATGTGAGCCTTCAAGCAATATATACACATCAAACTGATACACATACATCTTACTTATGTTTCAATATTAATAAACCTTTTAAGTCAAACTTCCTTGTACTCGTATGCAGATGATTCTGCAAGTTAAAGAAATAATAATACTTCTACTGATAGATACAAACCTTTATCATGGAGTCCAGCAAGAGTCACAGTATTTTTTAACTGCATAAAACAACATAACATGGAGCTTAACAAAACCAATAAAAAAGACTCCTACCAAGGCAATCGCTGAAAGATCGATCAAGATATAAACTATCAACTTTGAATGTTATAAAAGCAAGGTACTTAATAAAAATTGTTGAATTGGAGGCAGACAATCTCCCTTTACTTAAACCAGTTATTCCATATGCTGGTAAAAAAGTTAAACTAATTCTATGTAAAGAAACCAACTACTGCATATTCAGGCATAACACGAACTATGTATCATATATATCTTGTTTTCAAAGGCCTCACAACAGCACTTGAAGGCAGTGGCTTGTACAGTTCTATGTATTGTTGTCCATGCAGCAAGAGTTGCGGATCATATCTGGCGGCAACAAAAACCAGAAATTCCAGTTTGCTTCTCGTCAAGGCAATGTAAATTCAAGCAAGAACTCAGAAAGTATTTTACTCATGAAATATGTAAGGGGATCTTATCACTGATACTTACTGCAACCCTGGAAGACCAGCACCACCTGGCAGAGATCCGAGCGAGAATAGAGCAGAAAACGTCGGCAAGACCTACCGAAAACAGCAACATTCATTTACGCTACGCAAAATGCATATGTTATGTAAAACACACAAGCATACACGCACCTCACAGCAACGTGTTTTTACAATTTACTCAACGTATTGTGCTAAACAAAACAAATCAAATCATGATTTAGCGAAAGCAAAATCGAATGAATTATTAACACCGCACCTGGATGAAATTCTGGCCCTTTTCATGATAAACATATTTCAGTTGGTCGACATCCACGGCATCCCGAGCGCAAGCTCCAATGCCCAACGCATACAGCGCGACATCTCTGCCGAGTTATAAAACATCAGCACAGGCAGTAAGCAAGTAATTAAGCGGCGTTAATTGAGAATTATATATGAATTTAATTATTTAAAAAAAAAAAAAAAAAAAAAAAAAAAAAAAAAAGGAGCTTTCGGAATTGCTGTAATGGAAGTGCTTAAGCTTACCTCTCGGAGTAGGTGTACGTGCGCTGAAGTCCCCATAAAAATATGCGCGCGCAACAAAAAGAGGAAGCAAAACGAAGTTATGAGAAAACGAGATCAGAGAGGTAGGCTTAGTGGATCGCAATCCAAAGAACTACCAGAAAACAAGATTAATTGCAGCGCTGAGAGGTACAGAAACAAGCAATTAAACAAGGCGCGAAAAGCACCTCGGGGAATTTGTGAGATTCGATACGAGCGGGATCGAACTCGGACGACGCATCGGACGCCATATCAACGCTCTTTGTTTCTGCTGTGAATTCTGAGTACGCTTGGAATGGGATGATGGAAGGGGTAGATAATGGTCAGAAGAACTGCAAGTCAGCGAGGGAGGTCGCAAAATGTTGGCACGCGTACCTATTCCCATTTAATAATGTCCAAATATTCACTACTATTATTAAGGTCTCGTTTGGAACGACGTATTACACGCCAAACAGGCGATTTAATAATGTATTATCATCTCGGTCTGACTATGTTCTGGTGTGATAAAAGATTGCATCACTTCCGACTAATTAAAACAAGGGTCATTAGCTAAAAGTAGACATGTTTTTGACATTTGATTGTGCTTCTGATCATATTCTAAAAATAGCTGTGCTTTTTCTTATGACTAAGTCTATATTGCCCTTTATTCGTTTTTTTATTTGTCCACATATCCTTCATTGATGTTAAACCACAAAGAACGCACCACCACCTTAAAGACACCCGACATTCTCAACTTCATTCTCATATCCATTTTTCGGTTGCTACGCCTTGACTAATTAAATTTGGAGGAGTGAAGAACATTTGAAACACCATGGAAGTGGTTGAGCAAGCTTCAACGCTCGAACACCATGTTTTGATATTTGTAAATACATCACTTAAAGATATGTGTGATTTCAATGCTACGTCTAACTCAATGTTATGGGTGTTTTAACATTAAATTTGATTTCTACAGTTATGTATATCTTCTCTTTTCATTCTGTATCATTAGTGCTACATAGTATTGAAAAAATTACAAGTTCGATACTTAATTATGACTTAACTTCATATACTTCATATTTTTACTCCGTTAAAGCAGAATATTATATACTATAAAATAAAAAATGAAAAAAATACAATTATCTTTCCACACTCGACTTAAAAATGTTATCCTACAAACTTTCCGGTTAACCCTGAAAAGATGTTGGCTGTAGAAGGAAAATTGTTAAGAAAATAATCAAAACAAAGAAAACCCAACCACGTTTTACCCGTAAACGATATTGGGTGTAAAAAGAAAATTGTTGTGAAAAAAATCACAACAGAGAAAACCACCTCCTACCTCGGCAACAACCGCAAATTCCGTGGTGGTCCGAGCTACCAAACATGGGGACTACTTTTACCAGTGTCCATTGAGGACAACCACGAATTGATGAATTGGAGTGGTTGGGAATAAAGACAGCGGGTGTCCGCGATACAACCACCGGAGAGGGTGGAGGCTGCTGTCGGGTGGAATTAACAACATAAATCAGTAGCCCAAACGAGATGACCAGACCAAATAAGAAACATCCACTCAAAATAAATTCAAATTAAGTCCTCAGTTACAGTCCCGACGATATCGAAAACCCATTCTTCCAAAATTTTGTTTCGATCCCATCTAACAATAACATCAACATACAAAACCACATATTGCCAGGCAAAAGAGCAGACATCAAAATACATCTGTTTCTGGCAAATCACATTCTATCTTCTCTCTTCCGTGGTGCACAGGTGATGATCTCATCAACTCTAAGAATCATCTCCGCAGCCTCTGTTGCAGACAGCAGCACGGCCTGCTTAACTTTAAACGCTTCTGATATCCCTCGTTCCGCCATGTCTCCTACCTGTCACAATGTTAAAAAAAATGCCACCCGTCAAATCACCATGAGAGTTCAGACACTCGACAAGTAATTACTCCCCATTAACATGTAATGCTTCGCTTTGCATGAGAGATGACAGTATCACGTAATGGATACGGCATTCCAAAGCTGAGGTCAAACACCATGCTCAATATACTAAAGAAATGTCATACATCTATGATTTTGTTCATTTCTTTTCGTTCCGGTACTTACTGTTCCAGAGATGACATCAATGCCGGAAGTGCATCCTTCTTTCTGGTGCTCCGCACGTAGCTTTGCAATCAATTCAGCACTGTCCAAACCAGCATTGTCAGCAATGATAGTAGGAATGGCCAAGAGTGCCCGCGAGAAAGCTTCAATAGCATGAGATTTCTTTCCAGGCGTTTTCCTGGCCAGCTCATCAACTTCCTTTGCCATTATCATCTCAGGCCATCCACCACCAAGCAAAACTCTGCTGTCATTGACCGTCTGAGACAGAACGCACAAGGCATCATGCAGAGACCTTTCAGCCTCGTCAAGCACGTGATGGCTGCCAAAGTACAAACATATCATAGCATCATCCAACTAAAAGTAAACCAATTTTAACTCCAGGGCCAGAACAACTGCTTCCTACATCTTTTTGAGGAATACTTTATATGTAAATCCTAATTCTAGGTGCTACAAGGAATATCCACAAGTGGGAAGAAAGGGCAATACAAGCGGACAAGAGTTGCTGTTTCCAATCAGCTAATAACAAAACTGTCAGCCAACACAAGCCACAAAAGTAATACCTGCATACATAATTTCTGGTATTCCAAAAGGCATATGAGTCCGACAGACTCTCAGCCAGTTTAACTATGGCCGCAAATAAGATAAGCTAAACATGTATGGTACTCCATTTCATATATTAACTCTCACATTACATATACTATATCTCCCCCCACCACCCCACCAAACACACACACACACAAAAGCGGTTAGAATTACATCCGTGTGGGCACAGTAATATTAGCCAGTGCAGAATTGAAATAGAAGAAAACAAAATGTAAATGCAAAAATACCTTGCGCCTCTCAGCACTATTGTGCAAGCCTGACCCAGTTCAACTCCAGAAAAGTGGATCAACTTGTCCTCACCAATCATAATTTCCTCAATCAGCTTGCAGTGCCCAAGCTTAACGGACTCTGGGTTATCAAAGGTTGATGCAATTTCACCACCAGTAACTAAGGCCAAACGCTCAATGCCATCAAAATCAGCATGCTCAATTGCAAGTATTCCAGCATCTGCAAAGAGTTCTTCTGGGAAATTGTAGATCAACTGTCTGTTAACAAAACAGTTAATTCCGTGACCTATGATCTTCTGAACTTTTTCTCTCATTTTATCTTTCTCAGCCCCTTCAATTTCAGCAACTTTCGCCATTGAGTCAACACGAACACGAGCCCCATAAATCTTCACTTTGTCTGTGTCCATTGCTGTATTTGCAACCAAAATGTTTGCATTCTCTATGCGCTTCGGCTGACCAAGACCTATTTTCTTGTCAAGAATAAATCTGAACAATAAAAACAGAAGTATGGAAGAGGTCACACAAGAGTAAATAAGAAATCAACATGCATAACCAAAAAAAAAAAAAAACAAAAAGAAATTCACAGCCCATATCAGCTATGCAGATAATTGATGACAAGGAACAGAAATCTCCAACACTGCATAATAGAATTTCCAAAATTGACGAAATTGGCAGTAAAAATAACATAAGCTCAAAAGTTCATTTTCTTTCTTACCCTTCATCTAAAAATGAGTCTATAAGTGATCCACCGGGCTTCTTTATAATTTGGATGGCCTCTAAGTTGGTGCTCCCCTGCCATTGCAAACAGCTTGTGAAAAAACATGAAGACTAAAGAAAAAGAAATGTTTTCAACACTCACATTGAACCTTAACTACCAAACGTTAAGTTACAATCACCTTTAGGCGCATCACAGCATCAACTGCTAGCTGTGCAAAATGTTCCTTATCCTGAGAAAGAATTTTGGAGCTCAAAGTAGTCATTGCGATCTTCATTAGGTCTGACTTAAATTTCTCTGCAAAATTCAGTGATGCCTCCTTCATTTAGTTACAGTTGTGCAAGGCAAAGATAATGAAAGCATAGCTAATCCATTCAAAAGCTCCAACCTCAGAAAGCACCATGCATAATGATCAAGCCCATCAAATTCATTAACTGAACATCATGTGACTAGAATAACTCATATCAACAGCTACTAAATGAATGTTGATCCCTAAAGTCATATAATTGATGAATGGTACAGAAGCAACTGAAGTCAAAATAAAGCAATTAAATTCAAAATAATAGTCAGTAGTGAATACCAGAATCAGCCTTGTTATCCACAACCTTATGCAACAAAGCATCACGAGCACATTCAGCTGCCATCCGATAACCTAAACAATCAAACTGACAGCATTACTAACTCCAAAGTCACATGGTACCACATAAACAACAACAGAACAGAGCAACAAAACTAGTGAGAGGTGTTTGCAGAAACTTCAGACAAACCTGAAATGATTGTCATTGGGTGAATCTTTGATGCAACCAGCTTTTCAGCCTCCCTTAAGAGTTCCCCCGCCAAAACAACAACAGAAGTTGTCCCATCACCAACTTCATCATCTTGAACTTTTGAAATATCTGACTCTTGTATTAAGGATCATTGCAAAATGTGAGTAAGATCTATCTCTACCCCTCCCATACACTTTCAGTACTTGAAGATCACAGATAACTTGCCAACAACAGTTTTGACCAAGTAGATATACATATACGTAAAATGATAACTAAAATGGAAAAACATGTTGTAACCTGTAATAATCAGTGTGAACAACAGTCACAAATTCAAAATGCAATTGCAAGGATACCGACAAGAACTTTGGCAGCTGCATTGTCAATATGCAGGGACTTTAAGATGGTGGCCCCATCATTAGTAACAGTAACCTCATGACCTCTTCCTGTTGATTGAAGAATTTTATCCTGTCCAAATATATTAATAAGAAAGTGATTTAACACAAGTAGGAAACCGTTGTATACGCACAAGTGTCTATTAGTTTGGCAACAGAGTAAGAGACACCAACCATTCCCTTTGGTCCCAAGGTCGTCTTTACCAAGTCAGCAATTGCCATTGCACCCACAAATGAAGCCTTAAACAATACAAATTATAGATAAGTAGTAAGCATGAGGGATACATCAAATTTTAGCTAGCCATATTGATTTGACATGTGAATAGACAAAAAGAGATTAAAATCCCCTAACATACACCGCCCTACACTATTATACACCAACAAATTTCCAATATAATCTGGAACGGTCAAAAATTCCAGAAAGCCTTGCGAACACAATTAATTATTGCAAATGAAAGATTATTTGAACACCTCAATTTTTATACAAAATCCACACTAATTCCTCCAAAAAAAAAAAGTTTGGAAAACATTTTGTCAAAACCGAAAAATCACAGCATTT